AATGTGATTTCCGTTTGTGATCATGTGATCTTCGGTTAGGAGATCTTGTGATGCTTTTTAAAGCAAAGTTGGGGTTGATTTCGAGTTCACATACAAACATAAATAGAATAGGCTAATTAAATTTGTCTATTTTAATGTAAGACAACATATTTTTCGTCAGTGATAGAAATACAATTTAAGACGGTAGTGCAAGCAAGTTTTGTTTGAAAACGTTTAATAGTAAATAAGACACAATTAGACAATATTTGAATAAAATAATAATGACAATAATTTATTTGCAACAACTTATTGAGTACTGAATGCTGCACGCACGCGCAGCGTTGTTAAGGTAACATTTGGTCAGTCATTCCCTTCACCAAAAGAGTTTCAAACGCTTATACGAGACAGCAATGCCCTGCACCCTTCATAGAACACACTTCAAGGGCTCTGCCCTTCGAAGGGAGTAGGGCATAGGGATGCTCACTTCTGTTTGGAATTCGCCCCATGTCTCTTGTATCACCGCAGAGGCTCGGACGCGGCTCTCTCGTTTCATTCAAATGCAGCTTGCGTCTCAGTTTTTGATTGTATTGAAAATGAAATCAGAGGAATTTAGTATTAATAGTACTATAATTTTGCTGTAGTGATCATATTGTCCTGACTATTGTTTTGTACACTGTTCATAATGGATTTATAAGATTTCAAAACATAAGTCTCAATTCAATATTTCATATCCCCGTATTTATATATTATTTTAGGTAAACAAAAAAAATCTGTGTAATAAGTTAACTATGAATATACAATACATTATCCCTTAAATGTCAACCTGATAACCTGAAATGTCTTGGCTCAAAGCCACTTGCTGCGAACTTTTCTTCGTGGAAGCTTTGCGTTAAACGAGTGAGATAACGAAATATTTCATCTCTAATCAATATTTTTTGTCCAATTATTTGCCCAGTTAGTTTTGGTATTGAGGTAAAAGTTTTAATAGTAAATAAGACACAATTAGACAATATTTGAATAAAATAATAATGACAATAATTTATTTGCAACAACTTATTGAGTACTGAATGCTGCACGCACGCGCAGCGTTGTTAAGGTAACATTTGGTCAGTCATTCCCTTCACCAAAAGAGTTTCAAACGCTTATACGAGACAGCGTTACAAAAGATATATATATATATATATATATATATATATATATATATATCTTTTGTAACATCATAAAAGTTTTTCTCATTTGATCAGTTTATTGAGTCTGTGCTAAATAAAAGTATTATTATTATTATAATTTTTTTTTTTCAAGTTTACTTTCCCCAAACTTTTGAATGGTAGTGTGCCACAATTTCCACTGTTTCCAATGCTGCAGATATAGCTGGGAAATATCACACATATCATGTTCATCTTTTGACTGCTGTTGTTTTGATGTTGTTTTTTTCCTCTAGTAGCGCAAGCATGCCAACTTAGTCTCTCCAAAAAGCTCAGTCTTTTGTCCCAATTGGCGCTTCCCTATAATAAAAGCGGCTCCCGAAGCCATTCCCCCAAATCCAGCAAAGCGCCAAATAAGCAGCAGGTAGAAAGGCAGGATTCCAGCTGTTGGGATGATTCAGAGCAGAGCGTCTCTCTAGGCTTTGAGCCCTCACCCTCGCTCGCCTCAGACCCGCCATCTCCATGTGTCCCGCTGGACATCGAGCAAGGTACTTGGAGCGTGGGTAGACGTCCGGTCCGAGGGTCTCCTGGACCCTCCAGATGCACCCGCTCTCCTGTTTGCCTGCGTTCTACCATTACTGCATTCCCTGCAATCCCTCCTACTTCCTGTTTTAGTCCTCCAAATCTTCAGCCTGTTTTCTTGCTGACCCTCTCTAGCGCTGACACCCTTGTTTTTTGAATTCATGCCCCCTTCCCTTTAAAGCTCAGCGCTGGCGCTCTGGTTCTTCATCTCGTGAGTCCTGAGCCGCTCTGGGTTTGCTCTGAATGATGAAAACCCTCTGAAGATGCTTTGAAGGATGTTGACTTGTCTTGCTCTCATTATCTGGCTGTGCATCATGCTCATGGCGTATATGTCTTCTGCTAGCGGTCACTAATACATAATAATGGGAATTATAAGGAATTTAGTGATCCTTATTCCACTTAACAATTTTTTTAGTACTTTGGAGGAAGCAGTTCCACCCAATAAGTGGTCCTAACTATATATTAAGCCAAATTACTTATTTTTAAAATAAAATTCATTTTTATTAAATTTAAAAAAATTATCTATATTTCATTAAAATGTACTATTTTTGGTAACATTTTATTGTAATAAAAAATACAAAATTATAACATTTTAACACATTATGCAAATAATAATATTATTTATATTATATATTATTTATGCAAATTTGTGGTAGTGCATAAGTTACGTTTTGTTTAAAATTAGTCTTACCAATTAAAAAAAAATAACATCACAGGTCATATTGTTATGCAAATAATTTTATATATTATATTATTTGGATGATACTTCAAGCTAGTAAGGAAAATAACTAATTATGAATTTTGCATACAGATCAAGGGCATGAATTGTTAATTTTACAGTAGTGTATAAATAGTTTTTATATTTTTTTATTTCAACTTAGTCTTACAAAATTATTATTATTATTACTAATTACAAAATATATTATTTGCATATTATTATGCAGATAATTATCAAATTTGCGTATAGATCAGGGACATTAATTGTTAGTTTTGCAGTAGTGCAGAAATTGTTCATTGCATAATTTTTATTAGTAATTATTCTTACTGTTTTTTTAAATACCATATATTTCAAGTCCCAATTTGTTTTTAACAACAGATAAGGGAGTCTTTTTTTTTTTTTTTACTGATTTATTTAAAAGAACTTCTTCATAAGTTATTTGTTTGTGAATCAGACTACACTGTTCACACTGTAGGTTTGTTGTTACGTGCAACCAGTGAGGATGTCGCAATACAAGGATACAATATCTGTTAATTGTCTTTTCACAACCCCCCAATCTTCCCAGTCAAAATAAAACCAGTTTAAAAAAGAACTGGTTTTCGATTCCCAGTCCTACTTGTAGAGAACTAGAGGCCATTCAAGAACATTCAACCCCTAATTATAAGAATTACAAACCAAAAATAGGGTTGTGTTCTTGAGTGTTTTTGCAATGGGTCATGGAGAGGAAGCAGACGAGAGATGTGCACCACTGCCTCGCACGGCCCAGTGCACATTACAAAACGACACCTTTCCATTTCTTTACTTCCTTTTGAGCCCCTGAAGCAATCCTGCATCACATGTCCTCGTCCTGTCCTAGAACCAGCGGCTGAAATGTTCATAAATGATGTACAGAGGAAACAGAAATCTGTAATGGTATTTGAAGCTGCTGTTCTAGCGGTAATGGTTTGGACAGGCATGACTGAACGTCCCGTGTCGTCTCTCCTGCAGTCGCTGCTCGCTGGTGGGGCACGAAGCGCATTGATTTCGCTCTGTATTGTCCTGATGCTTTGACTGCGTTCCCCACCGTGGCTCTACCTCACCTGTTTCACGCCTCCTACTGGGAATCAACGGACGTTGTGTCTTTCCTGCTCCGACAGGTGAAGATTACCATATGGTTTAGGATTATAAAATATGAATTCTGCTTAAAAAAAGATTCAGGGTTATTTGCACCCAGAAACATCCACTATCAAGTACACAGTGCATTGCAAACATGCAGTACTGCATTTAAAAAACTAAAAAACTGAATATTCTTGAGTGGCTCTTCTAGGATAATTGTCCATAGTTGATTGTAATGAAATTATACAATATAATATGTTTTTTTCCTAGCTTTTATTTACATTAATTAATTTATTTATTTATTAATACATTTTGTATTTGGTTATTTAAATATGTCTTTAAAAACTATTATAAAATGGTTATATTTATTATATTAAACCATTTTTGGTAACATTTTATAAAAGTCATTTATCCTCGAATAATATAATATTGTATAATATAATTTCTAATGTTTTTTTTCTAATTTTAATTTTTTGTATTTATTATTATGCTATTTTTATTTAGTAATTTAAATATGTTTAAAAGGCTATTTTAAAATTAACATTTTTATCTTTTTTTATATATAACTTTTATGTTTTGGTAACAATTTAATGTAATTAAATAAAATCAATTATCCTAGAAAAGCCGTTCCTTTTAATGAAATTGGACACATATCATTATAATGTTTTTTTCTGGCATTTAGTAAAATAAATTTTTAAAATAATGTTTTTATTTTATAATTATTTTATTTTTATTAATACATTATTTAAATGTTTAAAATACTTATGTAATTGGTAGCTTTATTATATTAAACTGTGTTTAATAAAGTTGTTAATATTTTAATGTGATAAAATAATTTGCCAATCAATGAAAAAAAAATCTAATTGCAAAAATAAGTAAATACAAAAAGCATTATTTGCAATTCGGTGACACTTCAGCTAGGAACTAAAATCACTAATTATGAAATTGATGTACAGATTGGGGACGTGACTTGTTCATTATTAGTGCATAAATTCTATTTATTGCATAATTGCATGAAATAACATTTTAATTTTACATTAAGACAGTTATCCTACAAAAGCAATTCCTAATGTAATTGCAATTTTTCCGGCTCTCAGGTAATGAGGCATGAGAACTCCAGTATTTTAGAACTAGATGGGAAGGAGGTGTCAGAATTCACTCCGTCCAAACCGCGGGAGAAGTGGATGAGGAAGAGGACCCACGTGAAGATCAGGGTGAGACGGGTACCTCAACATCTCTGAAATCCCAGATTACTCTTAAATCCATTATGGGATTGTTGCTAACGTAAAGATGTGTTTGTGTTGAAGAACGTTACGGCAAACCACCGCGTGAACGATGCCGTGTTTACAGAGGACGGGAATCAGGTGGTCATGGGTCGCTTCATGTACGGGCCGCTGGACATGGTCACACTGACAGGAGAGAAGGTTAGTGCTCTATAAACTTCATTTTGTGTAGATCCCAGTGATAAATGAGTAAGACCACCTTAACTTCTCTCACCCTCTTCGGAAAATGTAAAAAATCGAGTATTATTTTCCATTGGCATCTTATCTAATTCATGTCATCTTATTTTTGTGCCGTTTTCTAGGTGGACATCCACATCATGACCCAGCCTCCGTCCGGCGAGTGGGTGTATTTCAGCACAGAATTGACCAATAGCAGCGGCCGGGTTTCCTACATCATTCCCGAGAGCAAGCGGCTGAGCATCGGCGTGTATCCGGTCAAAATGGTGGTCAGGTACGCCTTCAATCTACATTTGTGCTGCACATAAAAGCTTGTGTTTTCATCAGTTGAACATCGGTGTCTGTCTCCAAAGGGGCGACCACACATCTGCTGACAGTTACCTGACGGTGCTGCCGCGCGGCACTGAGTTCGTCGTGTTCAGCATCGACGGCTCTTTTGCTGCCAGCGTGTCCATCATGGGCAGTGACCCTAAAGTGCGAGCAGGAGCGGTTGATGTGGTCAGGTGAGGGCTTTACTTCATTCATTTATGAACTCTATGAAGCCTACTGTATCGATATATACATTTCTCTAAATGATCGAAACTGTCGTACACAGTCTGTACATGCCCTCTGTCGTCTGATTGATAGTTTATATGTTTTTAGCAAGTAAAAGGCCTTTTAGTATGAATGTAAAAACATCTGGTTGTGGTTCAAATGTCTTTTTGCTGTGAAATCTCTGTGAAATTTTTATAAAGTAAGCATAAGAAGAACTTTTATATTGTTAGTAATATTTTAAAATTCACACTTATTTTTAATTTTTTATACACTTCCTATTTAGTTATTTAAATACATTTAAAAGGCTATTTTATCTTTGTTATATAAAAAATATATGAATAAAATAAGGGCAGTAATCCTAGGAAAGCCATTTCTTTTAATGAAATTGGGCAAATATAGTATAATTTCTAATGGTTTTTAATCATTTTTAAAATATTTTTTATTATTTTTACTTTATTATGTTATTTTATATTTATACATCTTTATTTAATTAAATATGTTTAGAAGACTATTATAAAATTATCTTTTATAGTAAATTTTACTGTTTGGTAATATTTTAATATAATAAAATAAGGACAATTATATTGATAGTTCATACTTTTTTAGCAAGTAAAAGGCCTTTTAGTATTTAATTATCATCTTACTAAGTCATATTATTGGAGAAATAGAGTGACAACTGATATTTATATGCGTTTTGTGTAAGTAGCCTGTTATTCTGTTTTATATTACAAGCTATCAGAATTTCATCTTACATATAAGATATAAATATCAGCATCTGCTCCAAATTGCATATTTTTGCTCACTTTGAGCCACTGAACAAAATGTTTTTAATCCTCCACAATATGAGCTCCATATTGTCAATATATCACACTATATGAGCTATAAAAGACTGATTTATCTGACTGATGTATTTGTCCAAAGGTTCAATAATGTTCCAATTAAAAAAAATATATATATATATATATATTCTGACTATTATTTCATATGTCAGGCTTTAGAGGGTTATTAATACTCACAGGCCAGTCATTTGTAATGTTTGCTGTTCCTGACGGTGGTTGGTCCTGTTTCAGGCACTGGCAGGATCTGGGTTACCTGATAGTGTACGTGACGGGACGTCCAGACATGCAGAAGCAGCGTGTGGTGGCCTGGCTTTCACAGCACAACTTCCCTCATGGGATCGTGTCCTTCTGCGATGGGCTCGTACACGACCCCCTCCGACACAAAGCCAACTTCCTCAAGTGTCTCATCACAGAGGTGAAAATATATACAGACGCCTCCTTTTCTGGAGCACAAGGGGATGTGGGTGATGCAGTACTATCATTTACAATACATTAACCCTAAATCAATAGAGATATTTATAAAAAATACATAAATCCATGATATTGATAAATATATATCATAAATATCTTAAAACATTACATTGAATTACTATTATTATTGTTATTATTATTTTAAGAAAAATCATGCAACCAAGATCATTTTTATTGATTTAATTTATACAGTATACAAGTTCTGTTGTACAGCACCTTGTTTAGCAAAATATAAAAATGCAATGTGTTGTAAATTAATTGTTATATTTGTATTTGATTACATTTTAAAAGATTGATTAAATAGTTAAAGTTTTATAAATTCAGTTAATTAGACAACATTTTTGATAATATAATTGTATTTAAATCATGAAACAAAATCCAGAAAGAAATTAAAAGGAAAACACAAAATTTGGGAAAAATTTAACTTTATGGCGATTTCATTGGGGAGTGTAAAATGCATTTCCTTCCTTATTAATGGTATGAAATAAATATTGCCATAAATAACAAATGATGTGGAAAGAAATATTGTGATTAATATTTTTGGCCATATTGCCCATATCGTAGTACAGATAGTATGCTAACTGGTATGCAACCGGTGATCAAAACAAGATGTTTAGAGCATAATAGAACAAGGAGGGTGTTTAGATGGATATTAGATGTATAATGTGTCAGTCTTGGCTTATATTTAAGTGAGATCTCTAATTGAAAAGCAGTTTGATCATGTTTAAAGATCATCCTGCTCTTTTGTAGGCACATATGAAGATCTTCGCTGCTTATGGCTCCACTAAGGACATCTCTGTGTACACGTCATTGGGTCTGTCGCCATCTCAGATCTACATCGTAGGGAGACCAACGAAGAAAATGCAACACCAGTGTCAGGTATCCTTACGCACAGTTTTTCATCTAAACCTTACGTTTTTGTGCATTTTCACTGACATGTCGCTGTCTCTCAACAGTTCATCGCCGACGGCTACGCGTCTCACCTGTCCCAGCTGGAGTACAATCAGAGATCGAGACCCGCTAAGACCGGCAGCACTCGCATGGTCCTGCGGAAAGGCAGTTTCGGGCTTGGCGGCAGTAGCGATTTCCTGCGGAAGCGCAATCACCTGTTGCGCACCATTTCCTCACAACCCACATCCTCCACGCCGCCCGTGCAGATAGGACGTCCTGAACGTGCGCAGAGCCAATCGGAATGTGACCGCGAGCGGGCAGAACGTGCCCAGAGGAGCATGAGCATCGCTGCCGGTTGCTGGGGCCGAACCAGCAAACTAGAGGGTGGAGCCCTGAGCCCAAAATAGGCTCCACCCACCAGGTCCAAATTATGGAGGCACTTCGTTCTGGAGGCACATGGGGCTGTATTACAACAGACTCTGTGAGCGAACCTCATGGCATTACTATTGTTGCATGGGAATTGTTTTCGTTCATGTTTCAGTTTTTTTTTAGTCCGGCAGCCAAATATTTTCCAGAAATCTAGCGCCTTACGCATGTCTCTGGGTCTTGGCCCTCGCCTCTGACTTGACTGAATGTACTGTTGGGACTGAAACACGGATCGTTGGGTGGGTATGGACTTTTCCCGCTTTTCCTATAATTCCCCTTCCAGTGTCCGCAGAGATTCCCACACATGTAAATACGTGCCTCCTCTTACCTGCTCAGGGCAGCCATGAACTCGAGGAGCTGATAAGACCCAGAGACCATTTCACATCCCTCTTCTCATTGGTTTCTGTTGGGCCAGCCCATATCGGCAGTCTCTCGGAGTCGAATCCCAGCAGCATTTGGCAATAAGGATCAAATCGCGTCACACCAAACTCCGTCTGCAGGTCATCAGAGGCCTTAACTTCTTATTTAGAGCACGAACGAACTCTCAAAGGAACAGCTATCCCTTTACAAGGCCATCTGCTTGCAATACCTCCGGGATGCCACCTCGACATGGGCTGCTGGGTCACGTTTCTTTCTTTCTTGCTGTTTTGTTCACTTCTGAGCCACCAAACACGATCGTAAGCACACGCCACAACTGCTGAAGTAAAACTTTTCCGCTGCTGCTGTTGCTGTCGACGTGGAGAGAATTTCCCATCGAGGACGCGCCGTGCAGCTCGCTGTATTTGCATGACGACAAAGGACAATTTTCCCGAGATTTCGCTCGATCATTTTCTCTCAAAATCCTTTGCACTCATTTCCCGGGTGATCGGGGAGCGATTCGCTCGACTTGCTCGCTCGATCCCGCCGACGGCCAAAACGATTCATTTCGAAAGCTGTAGTTCTGCAACTGCATAACCTCATTGTTTTTTTTGCACTAGTGGAATAGTGGAGGTCCTTGTTACCATCTCATGTCGCTACATAATGTTTGCGTGTAGTACATGGCCCTTATTATTTATGGCAGGGTATTTTGTGCGCATATGCACGATTATATATTTCTCTGATATATAGGAAACAGCGAAAAGAAAACACAAGAAATGTGCCAAAACCAGGCAGGAACCCGAACACGTCTGACGTTTCCAGAGCATTGTAGCAACGTTCCCCAAGCGTTTCGATGGCACATGTATAATGTTTTTAAGATTTTAGATCATTTTAGATCAACTTCAGTCCTTTAAAGTTCAGTTATCTATGATATTGTCCATATGTTCATATGTAAGTGATTGAGGTATATAGAAATTGTGCTTTTAATTTTCGCAATTTTAGATTGGACAGCATGACAGAGTCGTGAAACCGCAAGCGGTTTGTTTCTGTATCATGAACACACTGGAATAGCCATGCTGCATGTGCGGACTTGTTCTTCGAATCGAACCGGGAGGCTTCGAACGTGGCCTTCGTCCGGAGCGGATGTTCTGAATGGAACTTCAAACAGTGTAGATACTGTAAAGATGTAAATTTCACTAAATAGGATATGTTACGGTCAGAATTTATTTATTTCTGTAGCTCCATAAGATGATGGATATTTCAGGTTTCCATGTGTTGCTTTATTCTTTTGTCCAACAGTTCTGAAATGCTTCTTTTAACGGACCAATGATGTGTCTCCTTGTGCATAATCGTTGATAGTGTTTCTGTAGCAAAACTCTAGACGACGCCACCACCGCCACCGCACGGACAATCAGTTCAGCAAACAAACAAGGCAAGGAGCACACGCACCTACACGTGTACAAAAACGCTCTTATTCTGCAGACCTTCTGGACACCTCATACTCTGGAAACCAGTTTATCGCATTGAAATTTCCACGTAATGTGAATCGGAATTGTGAATGTGGTTCTGTGATAAATTTGCTCCAAACAACTGAATTTAAATTGGTGCTGTACAACTCTGAAATGGCATTTGGACTGGTATTACTAGTCTTCACAGGTGAAGTTTTAATGTGTCTAGTTTAGTACTAGACATCAGGTTTCTCCATTGAATATGTTGAAAGGTTTATGAACTTGTACCACTGATATCTAGATGATCTTGGTTGTTGGTTTATGATTTGAATGTTAACCACTGAACAAATTCTTAGTCTGGAAATTGCTAATTTCCGTTGCGTTATTTCGCACACACACACACACACTCACACTCTTGCCATCTGAACTGACCTGTTTTCAAGCTACTTTCCACCAATGTTGGGCAAGTTGATGCGCTCCATTGAGTTTTATTTCCAAATTGCAGATGCATCGCAGGGAATCATACAAAATTATGATCGACGTTCGTGCCACAGTTTTTACATGGCAAATATATGTTTAAACATCCACGGCCTTGCTTGTAGGCCGGTGTACGAGTATTATATCCTCAGATAAACCAGATTATAGCCACTTTTGTACTTAGCATGTCACAGAAGAGCTTTCCTACACTTTCCTGTACTCTTCAATAATGGGCCACACTACAAACCTCCAATTTCTAGTGATTACGAATATGCTGTTGTCTGCATACTAGATCATCATATCAATTGTTACTACCAAATATTTAAATGATCTTAGCGTTAATCCCAAATCCAAACATATTTAAAAAAAAACTGACATCGGAGTATTTGCATATATTAAAAGACATCACAGAAGAGCTTTCCTACACTTTCCTGTACTCTTCAATAATGGGCCACACTACAAACCTCCAATTTCTAGTGATTACGAATATGCTGTTGTCTGCATACTAGATCATCATATCAATTGTTACTACCAAATATTTAAATGATTTTAGCGTTAATCCCAAATCCAAACATATTTTTAAAAAAAACTTACATCAGAGTATTTGCATATATTAAAAGACGTTGAATGCATATAAATACTGGTCAAATGTTGTCATCTACAGTATTTTTGACATGAAAATGCTGTCATGATTAGTGTGCAGGTGATCCACAATACAAGCTCATTGGATGAAATAAATATGGCTGAACATCCCTGCCCCATCTTGTTTGTTGCCCCATCTTAATTTTCGATGATGAATGGAGACGTACTGCAGGTTCATTTTACACTCCTGTTGACGTACTGATCTGGGCTGCGTTTCCCAAAAGCATCGTAAACCTAAACTGATCATAGCTCCATTGCTGACAATGGTTATACAATCAACTTAGGCTTACGATGCTTTTGGGAAACGCAGCCCTGGACTGACTCGCTCCTTTACAGTTTTCTCACCAGGTCGGTGGTTCAGTGCTCTCATATGTATAACTGTATGTACTGTGGATTAAAAACAGTTGGACAACTGTTCACGTCTTCTGTGATTTATCATGCTTTATCAATGTGTAAAATGTGTTAATTTTTTTATATACTTTATATACTTTTTTCTGTCTTTTGAAAATATGTAGTCAATTTATATTTGTTCATTAAACCTTGTTTTGTGTTGATTTTTTGCCTGTTAATGCAAAGAGAAATGTTTTTGCCAAAAATGTGTATTTTAATATTTGACTCATTTCCTTGCATAAATCTAATTTACACTACATACAAAAAAAAAAAAAACAGGACAAAAATGTCCTTACTGAAGCCCATTAAAATTTAAGTATTTAATCCCAGTGCCATTTAAGCATACGTTCTTTGTTAATATGCTTTCATTCTATAGGCAAGGCTTCAACAATGCATTATTTTTATTTTATTTTGTACATTTTTACTATTTGGTGAATTGGCATGGACATCAGAGTATGCAGCTCAGTGGTAGAGTGCGTGCTTTGCATGTATTAGGTCCTGGGTTCAATCCCCAACATCTCCAAGCAATGAAAAATGTGTAGCCTAATGGTTAGAGTTTGACTTGTAACCTAAAGGTCGTGGGTTCAAGTCTTGGTACTGGCAGGGATTTTAGGTGGGGGGAGTGAATGTACAGTACTCTCTACCACGACTGAGGTGAGACCCTTGAGCAAGGCACCGAACCCCCCACTGCTCCGGGTGTGTGTTTGCTTGTTGACTGCTCACTGCTGTGTGTGTGCACATGGATGGGTTAAAAGCAGAGCACAAATTCTGAGTATGGGACACGATACTTGGCTTCATGTCACTTTAACTTTTTTCACTTTCAGATTGTTGTGTGTGAAGGCTTTATATAAATGTATATATATATGTTCTGATACTTCACATATACTTATGCTTAGCATTTAATATTTGAAGAATATATTTTTGTTGTTTTTTACTAAAAAAAAAAAAAAACCGCAACAGAAAAACAATGGCATAATGTAAATAAACCGGCATTTAAAGAGTTCACATCCTGAAAAAAAGTATCCTTTTGAAAGTATAATAGTTATATCTTTTTGTCACTGTTTTTTTTTTTTTTACATATTTTTGTGTATCTTTTTAAACCGATGCACAATGGTTAATTGAATTCATTTTGAAGTGAGAGAAGTAAAGGTGCATGTATTTGTCCCGAACTGGTCGACCAGCCATAAATCGGAAAAATTCGTTTTTTTTATTTTATTTTGGCCTATCTCTATTCCGGAATTGCACACAAACTGTACTGCAATCGTTTACCAAAATGTAATTTGTGTGGAAATATTACGAAGTCTGCAAGCAGGACGCTAACAGAGGATGCTAAAGAAGGCCGCAAAGAGGAGAAAACACTGTACCGGCAGATCAAGCTCAAAACATTGGAAGAAAAATATAAATATTGAACTGGGGGGAGGTGGGTTATATAAATGTATCTTTGAGGGGAACTTACTATCTTCAGAAAAGTTTTGATGGCATTTTCGTTTCCACTTACCTCCATGTTATGCTAATTAAAGTAGTGCTGCTTTGTTTACAGCGGTAACCAAGGAAACGCCATATCGCTGCTGTTGCATAAGCGCCACCTGCTGTCAGAGTATTATATTTAGTTAATATTTTGAGGACATTTTTGGTACCAAGTAATATGTGCAATAATAATGATCTATTAAAATATAATATGTTCTAATATATTTATTCTTTTATTACAATGAGTGCTATTGTCGCAATTAAAGTGTTGCTCACGTTATCTAACTGCGATTATAGTCTATCTATTATAACGTTAAACATTAACTATAATGCGCTTCATAAAATAAAAATACCACTACTGGTTAGATTCCTGAGGTTAACAAATGTGTTAAAATCTCTAAAAAAAATCAGGTAATTTCTTCAGTGTACCAGCGAGTGTCCCTGAGAAGCGTTGAAATGAATGGTACTCTACGTTCCCGTTACTTTTCAACGGCTCTGATCACGAGCGCCACAACACTGTTGTAGCCAATCAGAAGCAGGGGGCGTTTACGCTCATAATGGGGAGGAGTCATAGGGAGTGGGGGAGGAGTCAGAGAGTGAGCAAGCGGGAGATTTGTAGAAAGAGAGCTGGCTGAGGCATAAACAAAGAGAACATTTGCAGAGGAGTTTAAAAAGAATAAAAAGGGTTACGATCAGGCAAGTGTTTGGACCCGCTTTAATAAACACTGGAGAGACGTTTAGCCAACGGGAAGTCGGATGGATGCCGAGGTCGCTTTGTTTCTGCTCAACAGGTGAGTAGCGTTGATGTAGCTAGCTTTGCTAACTGTTGTTGTTGTTGTTGTTGTTGTTGTTGTTGTTACTGTAGTTGTTACTGTAGTGATAGGACGGGTTTGTTGTTGTTGTTGTTGTTGTTCTAGCTTTGCTAACTGTTGTTGTTGTTGTTGTTGTTGTTGTTGTTACTGTAGTTGTTACTGTAGTGATAGGACGGGTCTGAGTGTCACTGTTGGTCTGGTGTACAGAGCCGTGCAGTAAAGACCGATTCAATCCTCATACTGGAGAAACAGATGCAAACCAAGTAGATACGGTACTGAGATAATCTCAGCACATTTTTTTCGGAACCGTAATTTATGTAATTTGTCACTGATGATTAACAATTAACACTGATCCATACTAACGTTACCTGACGCAAAAAGTTGAGTGCCACCGGCATCGCTGCCTCCAACCTCGTTGGATATGATTATCTTGTTTACAGTATAAAAACTTATTTTATTTACTTACACACTTATGTTCTGTTTTTGTCTAGCATTGATGTGCACAACTGTAAGTAATTACATCATGC